GTTGCGTTGTGATACTATCTCCCCATATCTCACCATATCTCCCCCTATCTCCCGGTATCTCGCACCGCGTACGGGTCCGAGGTGCCGCCCCGGTCTTGTAATCCGATCTCCCCATATCTCCCCATCTCTCCCCATATCTCGCACCGCGTACGGGTCCGAGGTGCCGCCCCGGTCTTGTAATACGATCTCCCCATATCTCCCCATCTCTCCCCATATCTCGCACCGCGTACGGGTCCGAGGTGCCGCCCCGGTCTTGTAATCCGATCTCCCCATATCTCCCCATCTCTCCCCATATCTCGCACCGCGTACGGGTCCGAGGTGCCGCCCCGGTCTTGTAATACGATCTCCCCATCTCTCCCCACATCTCCCCATATCTCGCACCGCGTACGGGTCCGAGGTGCCGCCCCGGTCTTGTAATACGATCTCCCCATATCTCCCCACATCTCCCCCTATCTCGCACCGCGTACGGGTCCGAGGTGCCGCCCCGGTCTTGTAATACGATCTCCCCATATCTCCCCACATCTCCCCATATCTCGCACCGCGTACGGGTCCGAGGTGCCGCCCCGGTCTTGTAATACGATCTCCCCATATCTCCCCATCTCTCCCCATATCTCGCACCGCGTACGGGTCCGAGGTGCCGCCCCGGTCTTGTAATACGATCTCCCCATATCTCCCCCTATCTCCCCATATCTCGCACCGCGTACGGGTCCGAGGTGCCGCCTCGGTCTTGTAATACGATCTCCCCATATCTCCCCACATCTCCCCATATCTCGCACCGCGTACGGGTCCGAGGTGCCGCCTCGGTCTTGTAATACGATCTCCCCATCTCTCCCCATCTCTCCCCATATCTCGCACCGCGTACGGGTCCGAGGTGCCGCCCCGGTCTTGTAATACGGTCTCCCCATATCTCCCCACATCTCCCCACATCTCCCCATATCTCGCACCGCGTACGGGTCCGAGGTGCCGCCCCGGTCTTGTAATACGATCTCCCCATATCTCCCCACATCTCCCCATATCTCGCACCGCGTACGGGTCCGAGGTGCCGCCCCGGTCTTGTAATACGATCTCCCCATCTCTCCCCATCTCTCCCCATATCTCGCACCGCGTACGGGTCCGAGGTGCCGCCCCGGTCTTGTAATACGATCTCCCCATATCTCCCCATCTCTCCCCATATCTCGCACCGCGTACGGGTCCGAGGTGCCGCCCCGGTCTTGTAATACGATCTCCCCATATCTCCCCACATCTCCCCATATCTCGCACCGCGTACGGGTCCGAGGTGCCGCCCCGGTCTTGTAATACGATCTCCCCACATCTCCCCATATCTCCCCATATCTCGCACCGCGTACGGGTCCGAGGTGCCGCCCCGGTCTTGTAATACGATCTCCCCATATCTCCCCATCTCTCCCCACATCTCCCCATATCTCGCACCGCGTACGGGTCCGAGGTGCCGCCCCGGTCTTGTAATACGATCTCCCCATATCTCCCCACCTCTCCCCATATCTCGCGCCGCGTACGGGTCCGAGGTGCCGCCCCGGTCTTGTAATACGATCTCCCCATATCTCCCCACATCTCCCCATATCTCGCACCGCGTACGGGTCCGAGGTGCCGCCCCGGTCTTGTAATACGATCTCCCCATATCTCCCCACATCTCCCCATATCTCGCACCGCATACGGGTCCGATGTGCCGCCCCGGTCCGCCGCCTTGAGCCCCTCCGCGGACAGCAGCGTCACGGTGACGTGGCCCCGCTCCTGTCAGGAGTGAGTACGATCTGTCGGGCACTCAACATTAGGTGAGCAGAGAGCAGGTAGCCGCGCTCCTCGCGCTCCCTCGCCGTCGCGAGAGCGAGCGCGCGTGCGCGCGGGTGGAAGGAGAGGGAGGCGAGGCAAGGGAGGGCGGCGGAGGCGGCGGTGAGCGCCGCGTCCGCGAGCGCCGTCGCCTTGCCCGGTAGCGGCACGCCAAGGCAGCAGGGGGAGGAGGAGGAGGAGGAGGAGGAGAGAGACAGCAGTCGGGCGGAGCGCGCTCGCTCGCGGTACCCCCGCCACTTGGCTTGCATGGCGACGGCTGCGGCCGTCTCCGCCTCTTGCAAGCTCCTCGCGCCAGCCTTGCCCACCCGAGACTCGAGCCCTCGCGTCGAGGGAGATATGGGGGAGATATGGGGGAGATATGGGGGAGACTCGAGCCCTCGCGTCGAAGGAGAGGCTGCGGACGGCAGCGATGGCACCTACCCACTCTCCTCTCCGTGGTCATGTGCGTGGCTGTGCCTTGGTTGCGCCGAGAGGGCGGCGCGGAAGGCACCTATCAGCATCATCCTCCTCTCCGTGGTCATGTGCGTGGTTGTGCCTTGGTTGCGCCGAGAGGGCGGCGCGGAAGGCACCTATCAGCATCATCCTCCTCTCCTTGGTCATGTGCGTGGCTGTGCCTTGGTTGCGTCGAGAGGGCGGCGCGGAAGGCACCTATCAGCATCATCCTCCTCTCCTTGGTCATGTGCGTGGCTGTGCCTTGGTTGCGTCGAGAGGGCGGCGCGGAAGGCACCTATCAGCATCCTCCTCCTCTCCTTGGTCATGTGCGTGGCTGTGCCTTGGTTGCGCCGAGAGGGCGGCGCGGAAGGCACCTATCAGCATCCTCCTCCTCTCCTTGGTCATGTGCGTGGCTGTGCCTTGGTTGCGCCGAGAGGGCGGCGCGGAAGGCACCGGCGACGCAAGACACGCCGAGTCGCGCACGGCTTGCAGCAGCCGCTGCCCCCCTCCCTCGAGGTCTCGAGGCGTCGCGAGGTCTCGAGGCGTCGCGAGGTCTCGAGGCGGGCTCGGCAGGCCGGGGCTCTTGCGTGGCGTCGGGGAGGCCCGGACGCGCCCCTCGCCCCCCACCCCCATCCCCCCCCCCTCCTCCTCCTCCCCCAGACGGTCGTACGCGCGCCCCTCCCCCCCTCCAAGCAGCCCTCCCCCGCCCCTCCTCTTCCGAACCGCCCCCCCCGCGGTACTACCCGCGGGCACTGCGCGCCGCTTCGCAGCCGCGAGCGAGTCCAGAGCTGCCCGCCTCGCCGCCCCCGCCTGAGGATCAGTTAGGCAGTAAGGAAGTGTCTAGGAAGTGTCTATAGGAAGTGTCCGCCTCCCTCGACGCGGCGACCTTCCTCTCGGCTAGTCTCGGCTAATCTCGGCTTATCTCGGCTAATCTCGACGCCTCCCTCGACGCGGCGACCTTCCTCTCGCGCTTGCGCGCCGCCTGCAGCTTGCCAGTGTGCGAGATTAGCCGAGATGCAGCCGAGATGCACCTAGACCTACTG